CTGGCGGCAGAACCAGGCTGAGGAGGTCTGAGGAGGACGTGGAGTGACCGTGGGGAGCTGACAGAGACGACTGCTGGCCCTCACACCAGTGCCCAGGGCACCTCACGGGGAGGGCTGGCGGCAGAACCAGGCTGAGAAGGTCTGAGGAGGACGCGGAGTGACCGTGGGGAGCTGACAGAGATGACTGCTGGCCCTCACACCAGTGCCCAGAGCCACCCACGGCTCCAGGAAGAGCTGGTGGCAAAACCAGGCTGAGGTCTGAGGAGGACGCGGAGTGACCGTGGGGAGCTGACAGACGACTGCTGGCCCTCACACCAGTGCCCAGAGCCACCCACGGCTCCAGCGAGGGCTGGCGGCAGAACCAGGCTGTCTGAGGAGGACGCGGAGTGACTGTGGGGAGCTGACAGAGACGACTGCTGGTCCTCACACCAGTGTCCAGAGCCACCCACAGCTCCAGGGAGAGCTGGCGGCAGAACCAGGCTGAGGTCTGAGGAGGACGTGGAGTGACTGTGGGGAGCTGACAGAGACGACTGCCGGCCCTCACACCAGGGCCCAGGGCACCTCACGGGGAGAGCTGGTGGCAGAACCAGGCTGAGGTCTGAGGAGGACGCGGGGTGACCGTGGGGAGCTGACAGACGACGGCCGGCCTTCACAGCAGGGCCCGAGCACCCCGCGGGAGGCCCGCACCGCACGGCACAGGGGGTGCACCTGGTCAGCTGTGTGTGCCTCTGCAGGCAGTGCCTGTCCTGCTCACGGCAGACGTGTGGCAGGACCTGGCCCCGTCACCGGGTGGCCCCCAGCTGCGTGTGGCAGGACCCAACCCTGGAGGAGTCACGTGGCCTTCCCAGGGACCAACCTCAGAGCTTTATTTGCTCGTGACGGCTTCTCTTTGCTGTGTCTCCTGTTTCCAGGTCTCACTGGTGTTTTCTCATCATCATCGAGATCCGTGGCAAAGGGAATCTTTGATGCTACCTGGGAAAATGCAACAAAGGGTTTTCAGAAGCCTGAGGAAAGGAAGCTTCCCACAAACCCAGCCTGCCCATTAGCAGTGGTCTTCACGCATGGCAGCTTCAGAGACCCGGCCAGAGAGGACAAGGTTCACTGACTGAGGCACTACCACCGGCCAGGCCGACTGTGTGTCCACCCTAGTTCCTGGACTGGACCCCTCAGCCCACCTTCCCTGATGGACCAGGCTGCACTGAAGGGGACAGGGGACAGTGGGCAGGCAGCTGCCCTGGGCCACACCACGTGAAGTTCTGTCAGCACAACAGGGACGAGCTCAGATTCCTCCGGAGCCCGGCCTCGCAGCATGGGGACGGTGTCCAAATCACTGAATTCCGTGCCAACACAGGTGCATGGACACCTCACCAGACAAAGTGAGGAGAGCAGAGAACTTGACAGTTTCACCGTCTCAGACTGATGACGCAATGAGTCAGCACCAATGAACTCACAGGGCTTCTGAGGCGTGGGTTCGTGTTGTTTCCCTGCAGCTGAGTATCATGAAGGGTTCCTTGCGCTCCATTAACTGCCCCACCCCCCCAACCTAAGAAGCGGCCAGGTGGCTATTTTAACATGGATCTCACAAGTCCAGGGCTGGAGACCAGGTGGCAAGTCTCAAGCATGTCAACAGCCTCCTTCTATGCAGGCTACTCTCTCAAACCTTCCCACAGTGGTTCCATCTGGCTGAGGCCAACGTTCAATGCTTCTGGATGTGCGAGTGTGTCCACGTGGCTGGCAACAGGCCACAGGGAAGGAGACCACACTTCTTGTTTTGGTACCTAGTGCCGCTCTAACAAAAACACCACAAGTGGAGTGTTTTAACAGAGGCATTTATTCTCTTACAGTTTAGGAGGCTAGAAGTCCAAGTTCAAAGTGCCAGCTCTAGAGGCTGGATGAAAGTCCCTCGACCTTGGGCTTCAGCTCTGCCTTTTGCTCCCAGCCCACTGGAGATGGAAGCTTTTTTTCACTGAGGCCGGTGCTGAGGCTGACAAACCCAAGGTCGACAAGTAAAACGGCACAGTCCCAAGATTACCAAACATGGCAGATCACTAGTTCAAGCCCAGAGATAGTCCCAAGATCCGCAAGAAATGTAGCAGGCTGCTGAATGAGGACTCGGCCCCGTGCAGAGTTCAAGTGTGCCAAAAAGCTCAGAGACCTTCTCAGCGCCTCTCCTTACAGACCGGAAGCAGACCACAGCCTGAGGGCAGCTACTCAGCTGCTCCGGGAGACTCCCCGTGGAGCTGGCCGCCAGTCTCATCACGGGGAGTACTACATCCAGCTGCCCAGCCAGGACCAGGCCCAGCCAAGTGGACACAACCTCAGGGACCACAGCTGTGTTATGTAACGATGAAGACTGAAGACGTTTATTTTGGAAAGCACATCCGATTCCTGAAGCTTCGAAGTTACTGCTTGAGAAGCTCTGGTTTCGGTTAAGTCCACCCCAGCTCCTGGCGCCCCCACGGGCCAGGGAAGAACTGCGCTCACAGGGTTCACAGTGACTGACGGTGGATGTGACGCACGGCGCCCCCACGGGCCAGGGAAGAACTGCGCTCACAGGGTTCACAGTGACTGACGGTGGATGTGACGCACGGCGCCCCCACGGGCCAGGGAAGAACTGCGCTCACAGGGTTCACAGTGACTGACGGTGGATGTGACGCACGGCGCCCCCACGGGCCAGGGAAGAACTGCGCTCACAGGGTTCACAGTGACTGATCTTTCAGAAGTGGCACAGCAGGCCTTTCTTCCAGGTGGACTTGAACTCCCAACCTCTCGGTTAGCAGCTGGACACATTAACTGACCCTCGTTAAGTGCCTGCCGCCTGTGTGTTGTCTCGGAGTCAGCCCCACACCCAAGGCTGCACTCTGCCCACGGCTGTGGCTGCAGGTCGGACTGTCGGGACCCACGGGATCCCCACGGCTGACTGTGGGAGTCGGGCACCAGGCCTTGTGTCCTCGTCCATCGTCGTCTGCAGCCCCACTGACAGCTGCTCAGCATCACAGCCACATGCAGGCCTCACTGGCCGACCGGTGGGGGCCGCGTGCGCTGCGCTGCTGGGGACTCGAACCCAGGTCTCGCTCGCTGGAGGCAGGAATTCTAGTACCAAACCACCGCTCGCTGCCCGACACAGAGGGCGTGTAATGGGAGGGATGGCACGGCCCGATACAGGGGGTGTGTGATGGGAGGGGTGGGAGAGGGGGCGGAGGGGGCAGGAACCCCCTACCTCTGCTGGATCGCCAGTGACTTGCCCAGGATTGAGGGCCCAGCAGATCTAAGCCCTGCTGACTGTGGCGGCCAGCACATTCTTGGTCAGTCGGGTTTCTAAAGACTGTTCGGACAGAAAGACCAGGACTAACGCAGATCTCGTAGGTGGGGGTTCGCACTTTCCTTCGAAAGCTACATTTTCAACCTTCTTTTAACCAGTGTTGTTGCTGTTGTGTGTCGCTGGCATCAACTGTGACCCATGGCGATTGTGTGTGCAGAGCAGAATTGTGCCCCAGCGCCAGCAGGAGTGCGAGCCTTCAGGGGGAGGTACCAGGCCTGTCTCCAAGGCACCTCGGGATGGGATGGACCCCCAACTTCAACTAGGACAGTCCCCCCCGGGGCTACCAAAGGTGCATTATTTGGAAAGAAGTCTCCCCTGAGGGAAAACTCACCCAGACCCCACTCCCTGGTGAGAAAGCAAAGACGGCGGCAGGTCCACAAGCCCAGACTGGGAGGAAGAGCTGGTGCTGTCTGCTCGGCTGTGGGGCTGTGCTGGCTCCGTCTGTGCTCAGGCCTCAGACGCCCAGGTGATGTTCTTCTGGCGGATACAAGGGCATCCGCATCCACGGGCAGAGCTGCAGCCTCAGAGCATCATGACACGTAACAGTCAGGGCTTTTGAGAAAAGCCCGTGATAACCAAGAAGCTCAGCCTGTGTCCAAACCCGGCAGGTACGCTGTTTCTTTCTTATCTTTTAAGTTGTGATTGGGGTGTTAGTTGACAGAGCAAATTCATTTTCACTCAACAGTTCATCCACGTTTTGTTGCATCACGTCGATGACAATCTCCGCACTGTAACCGCCCTCTTCCCACTTCCTCCCGGTGGCCGCCTTTCTGTGTCCTTCTTTCCTGTGTGTCCCTGCCCTCTGAGCTGTGTCCCCGTGCAGATACTGCCCTTCTGACCTCCCATGGATGACTGTTCCCAGGAGTGCATCTACCGGGTATAAATGTTCACCTTTACCCTGTCTGTTGTTTGGCTGGAAGTCATGGGAGTGAGTTCAATTACAGGCCCGAAGGGTGACTTGGGGCCACAGCCTGGGGGATTTCACCAGACACATAACCCTGGACTTTTTTTTTTATGATACCAAGTTTTGTTGCACATGGCCCACGTGTTTCCGTGCTATGTGTCAGCGAGGGGCCTCTGTTCCTGTGACCACCACAGTGCATCTCAGTGCAGGACTCCGGGTCCTGCTGGCCACACACATGGAGAGGCTGGCTTGTGCCGACCCAGTGAGGCTGCAGCTCCACGTGACCCAGCACCCAGAGGCCTGCCCAGAGGACCATGCATACTCCCCAGGGCCCACTCAGGGCACCCCCAGGACACAGCACCAGACACACCTCAGAACACATCCCGAGAGTCCCCTGGAGCCCCTGCCCCCTTGCTGATGCTTCTGCAGTGCCAGGGTGCCCTCTTGTGTTTTCTTGCCCAACTGCAAGACCATCCCCATCATGGGCCTAGTTTTGATCCCACAGTGAGGACAGACTACAATTTATGTCCCCTTTGTCCTGCAGGAGCTCTGGTGGCACAGTGCCTATGGCATTTGACTGTTAACCAGAAGGCTGTTGGTTCAAACCCACCAGGTACTCCACAGAAGGCAGACAGGGAATCTATTTCTGTAAAGGTTTACAGCCTCAGAAACCCAATGAGGGTCGCTATGAGTCAGAATCAACTCAAAAGCAGTGAGCTTGTTTTTTGTTTTTTCTTCCCCCTGGTGGCACGGTAATTAAAGCATCTAGCGGCTAATCAAATGGTTCAAATGGTTGGTGGTTCGTACCCACCAGTGCTCCACAGCAGAAAGACAAGGTGGTCCACTTCCACAGAGTTCAGCCTTGGAGACCCTGTGGGCAGTTCCATTCTCTCCTCTACAGGCGTTGTGGGTTGGAATCGACTCCACGGCAGTGGGTATGCTTTGGGCTTTGCTTCCATGAAGATTGACAGCCTTGGAGGCCCTCTGGGGCAGTTCCACTCTGTCCTCGAGGGGTGCTGTGGGTCAGAATCAACTCAACAGCAACAGGGTTTGGGTGGGTTCCCTCTTACAGGCCTTTAGACGTTTTCTGGTTTTCATTTACTTCCTTCTGCCCCTGCAGGCAACACCGAGCACACATATACACGCAGACGCTGATGTGCGGGTTCCTTTCATTTCTGTGGGATGAAGAAACCCAAAAGCCAAACTCACTGCCTTTGAGCCAGTTAATCTTTACAGAAGTAGATTCCTCATCTTCCTTCCATGGAGTGGCTGGTGGGTTTGAATACCAACCTTCTGGTTAGCAGTGAAATGCCTTAGGCACTGTGCCACCGAGCGCCTTGAGATGAAGAAACACCTATTTTTAATTTAAGTATCTTCCACAGGCTGACAGTGGCCTGCCTGCCGCAGCACTGTCTCCTGTGCCCCACAGGAGGGGAAGTCTCTCTGTCTCTCTCTCTCTCAATGCCTCTGTGTTAGGCTGGGTTCTCTAGAGAAGCAAAACCAATAAAGCTTTATATACTTATGTTGTTGTTGTTATGTGCCATCGAGTCGGAGCCGACCCACAGTGACCCCTCCTTGGGTTTCCGAGGCAGTATCACTACGGAAGTAGATTGCCCCATCTTCCTTCTGAGGAGTGGCTGCTGGGTTTGAACTGCCAGCCTTCTGGTTAGCAGTCAAGTGCCTTAGGCACTACGCTACCAGAGCTCCCTTATATACATATAGAGAAAGAGAAATGTATCTTAGGAAAATGGCTCACACACTTATAGAAGCTGGCACGTCCCAAGTTCTTGGATCAAACGTCAAGTTGGAGGCTTTTCCCGACTCTTGCAGCTGCAGGGGCTGAGGAGCTCCAGGTTGGCAGGCAGCGTACTGGCTGTTGACGCCAACGAATGACGAATCCAAGATCTCCAGGCCGAATGGTGGATTGTTCACTCACAGACAGTTGTAGGCAGCACAACAAGATCCCGATCCACAGAAGAGTGTCTCTTTTCCCAGGATGTCCATAAATATATTGGAAGCAGGCCACACCCCTAGGGAAACTCCCTTTCAATGGATTGGCTGCTCAAAACATACGCATCTGATCTCATCGTGGGAATAACCCACATCGCAACTGCTCAAACCACACAGAATCGTGGGCAGCCAAGCTGACACCCGCTCCCACTGTCACAGTCTCTCTGTCTCAGGTGGCATTTCACCCTCTTGCGTCTCTTCCTCTGTGAACAGCCCTCAGGCTCTTGGCTCATGTTCCTACTGATTCTTTGATTTTTTAAAAGCAGTTTGTACATATTTTACAGTCAATTCTTACATATTCATAGTAACTTTTTGTCACATTTTTCCCTATCTTTTGACTTTCTCAGGTTTTGGGTCACACAAAACACTTCGTTTCATGAGTACAGCCCTCCTTTCTCCATTTCAGAGCCTGAAGACTCCAGTCGTCTACAGGTCACCATAAACAACACCCGCAGGCACGTGTACGTTGGGCAGGTGCATCTCCAACGGGAACAACCAGCCGTTAGAGTCAGGGACTGAGAGGACTCCACATAACCTGAGGACGTTGTAACTACCACAAGTACAATGACGGCCAGTGTTCGTGACCTCCCAGGAGCCACAGCCCCCAGAGGGCCTGGTGCTGGGCTCAGCCACCCGATCACCCCCGGCAACCATAGCACAGAGGGGCGCCTGGGTGCGCCGAGGGTCCAAAGAGCCCCCAGGAGGGCTGCCCACACACCACACTGTTTTCTTGAGGGGCCGGGCGTTCAGGTGGCTTCCCCCACCCCGAGGAGAAGGGACTGTGCTGCAGCTGAGGGGTCTTAATAAGGCTTAAAACCTTCGGGCATAAAAGAGAACCAAAAGCACAGGTTTCACTCAAAGGCAGAACAGCCTGCGAAGGTGGCAGGTGCGACAGCTATCCCCAGGTACGTGTTCAGGGCAGGCTGGGGGCCCTGGCTGCCCCATGTAGGCAGATGGACCTGAGGGCTTGACAAGGGCCAACGGCTCAGTGCTCCCATGTCACCAAGCCCCACACCACCGGCTCACAGTCTACTCCGCCTCTACGTTCACGATGGCGTCCCCATCCCCGTCAGTGCAGGGGCTCCTGTGGGCCAGGCTGTCTTTCTGCTCAGTCAGACCCTCGAGGAGCCTGCACAACCATGTCCCAATAGATGTGAGCTCCGAGAATATTTTCTCTAACAGCCCAACGCGCTATGCTGTGTGTTCTCCCAGCACCTCTCAGGAGAACACTGTGGCATTCACCACTGGGCACAATGTCACCCGAGTCACTGGGTGATCCCTCCCCGCCCTCCCTGCCCAGGCGCGCCCCCCCCCCCCACGCGCATCCTACCAGAGTCCTCCTGGGAGGCAAGGTTCTGCTGAAGGCACCCTTCTTCCTCTGCATCTCCAAGGCCTGCTCCCTCCACTTCTCCAGTATCTGCCTGTCTCTGAAGGAAACAGTCCATACGGCCAGAGGTTAAAAGCAGCCTCAGGTGGAGTCCTGGCGAGTCTATGTGGCCATTTCAAGGCTCCAGGCAGCAGCCCTGGGCCCTGGCCCCAGACAGCACCCAGGGAGGGAGGCACCGGGGAACCACATGGTCCTTAAAGGCAGCCTTCCTCCTCCCTCCTGCCTTGGGGCAGAGCTAGGAGGAGCAGGCCAGGGGACCCTGCCAGGGAGGAGTAAGTGTGAGGCTGAGGCTGCCAGGGCCGGCCTCAAAGGCCTTGGAGCAGCTGTCGACACGAGGCGGAGGGTGGGAGAAAGCAGACAGGTCAGCTTTCCCCATCTGCAGGCTGCTGGCAGCACCCTTACTCGTGTTAACACTGTGGAAACCACCCTCCCCCCCCCCGCCTCCACGTTTTACATAGTGCTCTGTTATCGCACTTACTGCAGGGACAAACCTCACCTACAGGGTAACCAGAGGGCCAGACCGGCTGCAGGGTGCATCAGAGTTGTGTAAGCGGACGGTGTGAAGCGGCCCCTTGTTGGGCTGTTGGAGGACCCGCTGCCCCCGTATCTGAGGTCCAGGGTTCCTCTCCAGCCCACATCCACCAATCCCTGGATCCTCACAAAAGTCCCTCCCTGCCCCTATCTGGCCTTGTCTCCCACCTGGCAGCGCCCAGACTCCCCTGCCCTCCCCGCTGTCTGTACAGTGGCTGGGCTGTCTCGTGCTCTGCCGGACTGTCCCCACTCTGCCTACTGCTCTGCCAGGCGGCTCCCTGGCTGGCTTCCACCAGCCACTGGCCAAACCAGGGGGTGAGGCTCCCACACCCAGTATACAGCCAGGCTTGAAACCGTCTCTGCAGGCAGCCCTGCTGGCCAAGCCCTTCGCCTGGGAGCTCGTCCCTGATGGGTCCCTTCAGCACTGGGCACAATGTCACCTGAGTCATTGTGGAGACGACCTGAACTCCCAGCCCCAAGCTGTGTGGGCACCTCCCCTACAGTCCTCACGGCAGCATCGGGCCGTCTGCGTCTCTGCAGCCCCTCGCGGGCACGTGGCTGCATCCTAGCCATTGCTGCTCTGGGTACCCGCTGGTGAACTGTGGCGGGGGGACCCTCTGTAGGAACTGAGGGGAGCAGTTCCCAGGAGTCCTGTGGGGGGTGAGGAGCTGGGAGGCAGAGAGGGGCACCGGTGGGCTGTGCCCTCCCCATGGAGGTCACCCACCAGTCTCCAGGTTCTTTCAAAAACCTTGTTTTGATCAAGGTGTGTGGCTTCTAAGCGCACTTCCCAAACCTGGACAAGCCCCCACCCTCTGCTGCCCCAAACCATGGTCCACAACATGACAGCAGGTGACAGGTGCCTGGGGTCAGCAGGATGGGGTCAAGGTCACCCCCAGAGGTGCTCATCTCACAGGTGAAGAGGCCTGCCTCCTCCCCATCAGCTGCCAAGCACTCTGACAAGTGCTCTGTGGGGAGTGGGTCCCTGGGTCCCATGTGCCCTCGCCTGGGCTAGCCTGGCAGGGGCTCTGGGGGTCAGGCCTGGGTGGAGTGCCCAGAGTGGCTGCCCCTGATGTCCCAGTGAGCCTGCCACAGTTCCCTGGCATGTGCCCTCAGAGGTTACAGGGCAATCCTGTGGCCACCCAGCCGTCAGGATGACGACAGCTGCCTGCAGACCCGACCTGCAGCCTCATGCCTGTCCACTGTCAGGGTCTGAGAGAAAGACACTGCACTCCGGTGGGGCAGTTTGAGGTGGGTTTATTAACAAGTCAGCCATTTACACGGGGTGGGGAGCGCAAGGGCCACAGTAGCTGGGCTGCTGCAGCCCAGGCCTGGGATGTGGAGGGGCAGGTCCCAGCAGGAGGGGCCCGGCCACCCCCAGGCGACCTTCCCAGGGGAGGCCTGGAGAATCTCGCCCTGCCCTGCCCCGCCTCTCTAGTCCGATCTCCAGCAGGGAGCCCCCACTGGCCGAAGCCCACCAGGAGCGGCGGAGCACCCAGGCGCTGTGGGCGTGGTCTGAGCTGGTCGGCCTCTGGGGGCCCGGGGCAGGGTGGAGAAGGGGGGAAGGTGGAGCTGGGGGGCAAAGGGGAGACATGAGGATGGGCCTGTAGCACGTGATGTGAACCACGGGATTGGGACAGTGTTAGTGGGGTCCCCACACTGGTGACAATGTGACAGGCAGGGGAGAAGGGGCTGAAAAAGAGCAAAGCATCAAGGGGGACGTGAGTAGGAGAGGCATCCTGAGTGGCCAGGTGGGGACAAAACCAAGGTGAGGCCTCAGGGGCCCCCACAGCAAGAGGGTCTCGCACACGGAAGAGCTGTGCGCCTCGGGTGGGATGAACACCGCAGGGCCCTCAAGGCGAGCAGGGCCAGGCCCCCCTCCCCCAGGCGCTCCCCCACCCGCCCTCACGCACAGCCCCTACCTCCTCCGCTGTTCCAGCAGGGCCTGCTTCTCCCGGAGCTCTCGGAGGGCCGCCACGCGACTCTCCTCAGCCCGTTTTCCTCGGATTCCGATTCCAAACGATGATGAGAGGTCAGGCAGGGTGGTTGGGAAGGAGGAAGTCTTCCTTCTGAAATGAGATGGGGCCTCAGCCGACTGACCATGACCCGCGTCTTGAGAAAACAGTGTCACAGGACAGGCCATGGGGCCAACCCCACAGGGACCCTGAGAGCTATCTGCATCAATTCCAGGAAACTTCAGTGAAACAGAAGGAGTTCTGTGGGCCCCGGTGCCCCAGACAGCTCCTGCCAAGGGCCAGCAACAACAGAACCGCCCAGAGAAGCCGTGCCCACGTGGCGACAGAACCGCCCAAAGAAGCCATCCTTTTATTATCCATAAGAGTGAGCTACAGTCATGTCTCGGTCCCAGGGTCAGGACACGGTGGAACCCCAGGCGGCTAGCCCAGCCAGTGTCTGTACCGCAGCCTCCCCTGGCCTCAAAGTCTACACATGCTGGCACTGTCCCAGGCCTGGGGACAGGGAGTGGAGGTGTGTAGCCAGTGTCCTGTGCTGCGGGGTTGGAGACCAAAGCACGGCTGTCTTAGTCAGTCAGAGTCCTGTGGACACAGAAATAGCACCGGGGGCAGCCTGGACAGACAGAAGTGCGTTTTCTCCCAATTCAGAAAGCTAGACGTCTGGGTTTCGGGTGCCGGCTCCCGGGTGGCAAATACTCACGTCAGCTTCCTCCCAGGGTTCTTTGGTGGGCTACTCGTGGTGTCTTCATTTCCCCCACTTCTGTGCCTAAGCTGCTCCCTCTATGTCCCAGAGGGGACCTACAGTACCAAAGCCTCCTCCACACAACAGAGACCCCATCTCAGCTGGGACTCCACCCCCGGGTATAGGGTTAGGGGTCACAGCAGATACTCTCGGAGAACACAATGCAGCCCGTGACAGCGGCGGTCAGCGCCTCTGAAGTGGGATGTCTGCAGAAGCAGGTGCTTCGGGCGAAGCCTCCACTGCGGGGGCTGCATCTGTCCATGCCGACTCCGTGAGTGCGGACGCTTGCTCCCAGGCCCTCCCTTCGTGAATCTAATTTGGGATTTAGGAACACACCACTATTATCTAACTCCTCATGCTTTTCACGGTAGGCCCTTTTCTCACAAGTCCTTTTTGCCTCCGGTTTCGTCAGTTTACTCTCGCCAGTTTGCCAGCTTAGCTGGTTAACTCATCCTGTGTTCTCTCCGCTGCCTGGCTCCTTCCTGGGTTCTCAGATTTAATGGATAATTTCTCGGGATACGTCTTCCAGGAACATTTTCTGAAACCCTGGGGCTACGGTCTTCTCTGCCTCTCCTAATCTGCACATACAACTCCTCTGTCCTCACGTATAAACGACACCCACTGGGTAAGGAATTTGGGAACCACAGCCTTCCCTCAAAACTTTCCCCAAGCCACTCCATTGCATGTGGCATCTGTGGACGTGTGGCCCAGCCCTACTTGGCTGGCCCGCACCGTGACCTCTCAGGGGCTCTCTGTGACTCTGACGAGGACCTCAGGAGACAGAGCCCTGTTGGGAGAGGCAGGAGCTGGAGCCACTGTTAACTGCCCACCACACCCTGACGAGCAGAAGTGGGGTCCGGTCGCCTGCCTGTGTACGACACCTGCTGCCCCTGGCCAGTTAAGCAGGCAGGTGGTGCCCCTGGGGCCTCAGCAGCAAGGGCTGATCTGCACTGCATGCCAACCATGTGCCAACACCTCAAAGCAGTCTCATTTACACATGCAACTCCCACAATGAACCGATGAAGTCAGAGCAGATGCGGCCCAGAGTGGCTCAGCACAGTCCCTGTGTAGAGGCAGGGAGGGGGAGGGCGTGCAGAGTTGGGTGCTCATGTGCAAGGGCTCCTGCCACTAGGGGGCGCCACTGCCTTTGGTCCTACTCTCCACACTAACCGAAAGCCCCTCCAAAGTCACGCAGACCTCTGAAGGCCAGGGGCTGGTGCCTAAACCCAAAAGACTGAATAAGTTGTACTATTAAAAAGCTCATTGCGGTTTAAATGCTGTTGTTAGGTGCCATTAGACACACATGCAGACACTGACAGACACACAGACATATACACACAGAGGGACAGACAGACACATAAGCACACACACAGAGACACAAAGACACACAGACATAGCGGACATATATATATATATATATATACATATACACAAGTCACACACAGATATAGACAGACACACACATACTGGACATGCACACATATACACAGATATACAGACACACTCTGATATAGACAGGCACACACAAATAGACACACATAAACAAACACACACAGAGACACAAAGACACACACATACACACAGAGATACACACACAAACATACCAGACATGCCCACACATACACAGATATATACAGACATATATACACAGTCACACACAGATACAGACACACACACACATACTGAACATGAACACACATACACAGATATATACAGACGTATACAGAGTCACACACTGATATAGACAGACACACACAAAGACACATGTTGTTGTTGTTGTTAGGTGCTGTTGAGTCATTTCTGACTCATAGCGACCCCATGCACAGCAGAACGAAACACTGCCCGATCCCGCACCAGCTCCATGATCCCTGCTATACTTGAGCCCATCATCGTAGCCACCGTGTCAATCCATCTCGTTGAAGGCCTCCCCCTCTTTTGTCGA